GACGATTGATTGCTAAATTAACCTTGACTTGTGAACCACTCTTTGGTCTCTTGAAGAAAGGAATGAAGTTCCAATGGGACGGTCGATGCCAAGCTGCTTTTGAACAGATCAAGCAATACTTACAGAACCCACCCGTGTTGTCACCGCCTGAGCTGGGGAAACCGTTGATTTTGTACCTTTTAGTAACTGAAACTACAATGGGCTGCATGCTTGCACAGGAGTCTAAGGACAAGGTAGAGAAAACTATCTACTACCTGAGCAAGAAGATGCTGGATTACGAGACCCGTTACACTCCGCTGGAAAAGGCTTACTTAGCCTTGGTATGGGCTACCAGAAAGCTGCGGCACTACCTGTTAGCTCACTCTGTAATGTTGGTTTCAAGATTAGATCCCATCAAATATCTCTTCGAGAAACCAGCACTTACGGGTAGGCTAGCTCGTTGGTTGCTTCTGCTTTCCGAATTCGATCTGAAGTATGTGACGCGCAAGTCAGTAAAACGGAGAGCGGTAGCAGAGTTCCTAGCCGATCACCCAGTGGAAGGGGATGAAGCAGTTGAGTATCTATTCCCAGACCATTCTGCATGTCGAAGAAGAGTTTTGGATGATATACTTTAACGGAGCGTTAAACCAATACGGGTATGGGATAGGGGTATTGCTGATAGCACCCGAGAATTCCCATATCCCTCTTGTATTCAAACTCCGGTTCAAAGTCTCGAACAATAAGGCAGAGTATGAAGCGTGTATTGCTAGACTAAAAGCAACTCTGGAACTATGAGCAAAACGGTTGGACGTCATCGGGGACTCGAACCTTGTTGTATCTCAAGTAAAAGGAGATTGGAAAGTCAAAGAAGAAAAGATGAGAATATACCACCAGACCTTGGACTTGCTGATTCCTCGGTTTGAGAAGCTGAACTTCGCTCATCTACTAAGAGAGAACAACATGTTCGCAAATTCACTAGCAACTCTATCTTCTATGATAGACATCCCTTTCGGAGTCCGGATGCATCCGATCATCATCGAACCGAAATTCGCACTGGCCTACGAGCTGATTGTTGCCATAGATGAGGTACAAGATGAGAATCCTTGGTATTATGATGTTTGGAACTTCTTGGAAAAAGAGACGTATCCACTAGGGGCAAATGCCAAGGACAAAAGGGCAATTAGAAAAATGACTGATCAGTTCATCGTCTGCGGGGGAAAACTATATAAGAGAGGTCATCTCGGGATGCATAAGCTGTGTGTTGATGCTGAAGAATCGAAGCGCCTGATGGAGGCCATCCATGGAGGAGAGTGCGGAGCGCACATGAACGGGGTGATGCTAGCCCGAAAGATCCTCAGACAGGGTTATTACTGGTCCACCATGGAGGAGGATTGTATTGGCTTTGTTCGGCGATGCCACAAATGTCAGATCCATGCAAACCACATGAATATTCTGCCATCGAAGCTGTACAACATGACTTCGCCATGGCCATTTTCAGTCTGAGGGATTGATGTGATCGGGGCTGTCACTCCAAAGGGGTCCAATGGGCATGAGTTCATTCTGGTCGCGATAGATTATTTCACAAAGTGGGTTGAGGCCCAGTCTTATGCGGTATTGAAGGCTTTGCATGTTGCCAAGTTCATCTGGAACAACATCATATGTCGTTATGGGCTCCCGAACGAGATCATTTCAGATAATGGTTCCCACTTCAAGAAGGAAGTGATCGACTTGTTGGAAAAATATAACGTGGCTTTTCACAAGTCATCCACATATCGGCCACAGACCAATGGAGCAGTCGAGGCCACCAACAAGAACACCAAGCACATTCTGCAGAAGATGGTGGAAACCTATCGGGACTGGCCAGATAAGCTGCCATTTGCTCTGTGGGGCTACCGGACTTCAATTCGAACTTCTACTGGGGCGACTCCGTATTCCTTAGTCTATGGGATGGAGGCTGTTCTACCTATCGAAATTGAAGTTCCGTCATTACGAGTACTGGCTGTGTGTCAAATAGCTGAAGCAGATTGGCAGCAGAGCAGGTTCGAGGAACTCATGCTCTTTGACGAGCGAATACTGAAAGCACTGTACCATGTTCAGGGTTATCAATGCAGAATTGCCAGGGCTTTCAACAAGAAGGTTAAGTCCAGGAGATTTGGTGCTCAAAGACAACCGAGCTCCCATCCACGACCCTAGGGGCAAGTTCAGACCTAATTGGATTGGTCCTTATATCATCAAGTCTATCTGGTCAGGTGGAGCTGTGGTTCTAATGGACCTAGATGGCCTAGAGTTCTCCCAACCGATCAACATGGACAAGTTGAAGAAACATTTTTCCTGAAAGGCTCGCTAGGCCGAAAACCCGAAAGGGCGACCTAGGGAAAAGTTAGAGCACAGAAAATTTGAAATTATAAAAACTGAGCTCGCAAGGTTGAAAACCCGCAAAGGGCGGCCTTGGCAAAAGTTAGAGCGTAAAAGGTGAGGGTTAATACGCGAGTCAACCTTAGCCGGACTACGTAAGGCTTGATTCCCATCTTTGGGATACGTAGGCAACTTCATTTTGAAGTCCAGCCATAATCACTTCCCCGATCAACTTTGTCCATTTGATCATCTCGGTCATCTTTGTCTATTCAGCATTCAAGAGTTCGATTGTGATCTCCGGTGTAGTGCTATTCAGACTAGGGGCAACTTTCCAGTTGCTGGAATCTGGGGTTATACATCTCAGTGACAGATCTCAGGCGTGCCCAGTTTTGATCCATATCAAAAATGGTTTTGAAAAGTTTTAATAAAAGTGGGTTTTGCTCAAATTAATCTTTTTACAACTTAGACCATTTTTGGACCAAACGGAAAATTTTCAGTACCCACAACCTTCAATTTTATTGATTTCAATACAGAGTTCTCCTGCTCTTTAATACAAATTGAAGTTGCTTTTCATTACATTCATAAAGAAAACTTGAAAGTTCTAATTAAAGCAAATAAATTTAAGACATAGTCAGGTGTTCCCGCGCCCTCTCCCAGAGCTGGTCGAAGCCTTTAATGCAAAGCTGGGCCCGATCTATGCCTCTTCATTGAACCAATCTAAGCACTCATCAGAGAGGATGTAGCTGAAAGTAGGAGTGGGGGCCAGAAGCTCTCTTCTCCTCCATGCTGCGGCATACCGAGCTAGTTGCGCGCCTCGGGCCAGAAATGTAGCGGGGTACTCAATCCCCTCCTCTGGGCAAGTCTGATCATGTCTGAACTGGCGCCGAAACCGGAACGAAAAGTAAAACAGGCAGTGTGTCAGGCTAATCAATTGGATCCCGGGCTGACGGGTCATGCTAAGCTCATTGCCAGTAAATTGAGCCAAGGGCAGTGCCAAGCAATGTAATCCGCAAACAAATTGCACATCCAGCTATACCACCATCCTTTATCCGAAGCATCGACTAGACGTCGTCGGGAGAAATAGCTGTGAGCTAAATATGCCGAACACTAGTCCACAACTCTCAACTTGTCCATCAACCACACCTAGGAAGGGATGAAAAATGAGAGAATAAAGAATAAAGAGATGTACGTTGAGAGAAAAAGTGAGCAAAAGGTTTTGAGAGAAAAATCGAGCCTAAGGGCCGAGTGATGTGAGCAATATATGTGAGATGGGGTAGGAGGAAAAATTACCTGCAATAGTAGTGGACTCCCTGCAAACCTAGCCGTCTCCCAATGATGAAAAGCGTCTAAGCCCATCAATGTCTCGGCCAATGTCATGGCGATGCAGCTTTTGCCCTCTTTCAAGCCCTCGGCGACCTCAATCAAACGAGTGCTAAACCCGCCGGAGCCCGGGGCTAGTAAGAAATGAGATAGCATGCATAAGCAGAGCACATGTCGTCGATAACCCTGCCAATGATGGTCACCACGGTCACCAGCATCAAAAAACTGACAAACAAAGCTCGGAGTGTCCAACTCTCCATCACGAATCAATGACCGAGCGTCATGCACAGTAAGGCTGCACATCCGTCCTAAGGCTTGGACGTGGCTGAATCGAAACTGAGGCAAGATTCCCTCGCCGTGCTCGGATTCCATTAAAGCTTAGAAATCCTCAAAAGTGGGACACATCTCTTGACCGCCAAAACTAAAGACATGTGTTATCGGATTCCAAAACCTTGCCGCGGCATGGAGGAACGGAAAACGCAGCGGGGTGCGACCTAGCGTGAATAGTGCATTTATGCCGAAATGAGGAAAACTACGAAGCTGGGGTTTTTATAGAAGATAAGGTGTTGAGTGGAAGACAGGTGTCAACATTCTGGAGGTGCTTGCCATTTTTGGCCGATCGGCCAAAAATAGTGCCGACCGACTGTCCTTTTTGGCCGATCGGCTAAAAATGTTGGCCGATGACCATTTCTTGTGGTCGGTGGCCTCTCCCTTTGGCCGATGGCCTTCCTTCTTGTTCCCTAAGCTGTTTATGTATTGAACATGCTGAGAATTTGTGACTGGCACCACTTCCAATGCCTTCTAGTGATGATTTTGCAAAGTCACACCTGCGTTACTTCGATTTGTTTATCGAGTTGTTGTACATTTTCTTATTGAGTTGTATTTCACATTCTTTAAGTCTTTGCTTTGCTTATCGAGTTGCATTTACACTTGGTTAGTTTATCTAGTTCTTTGTTTTAATTATCGAGTTATTTTTGTCATTAGTTGGTTCACTACCTGATTATTACAATGCAAGTGCTTAATTTTCAAACAAAAGTTCAATCTCATTTACATTATTATGTAATGCGATGCGATGCATAGAATGTACAAATGCAACACTTTTTGAACAAAATAGTTGTTCCATTTCTATCATGTCTTTTGCAAAAACTACACAATTTTGAGGAAAGTAAAACCTGCCTGAGGCAGTATAATGTGCTCAAACTACCAGTAAAAAGAAAAGTAAAGCAAAAAAAAAAAAAAAAACAACAAAATGTCTGAAAAAAAAAAAAAAAAAGAGGAGAAAAACAACAAAATCTCTGAACAGAGCAAAGAAAAGAAAAGGCAGCAGAATGTCTGGATCAATATCGATGGCTTCAAGTGCGAGAGTTGGTCCTGGTCCTCTTCCTGGACGAGGGTCCAGGGACACCACCGCCATTTCCATAGTCAGAATCTGAGCTGTCTCCGGCCTCGCCCTGGGACGACGCCGCCTCCTCATTAGAATCATCGGGGGAGGGCTCTCGCGAACTGCTCTCAGCATGAGCGTGCCTATGTCTGCCCCGGTTATGGAATGTCAGCCCCCGCCTGGCTACCCCTCTTCCTCGAGCAGGAACAGATGGTCCAGCTAGAGCACCTCCCGCGACCGGAATCTAGAATGGGGCCTGAAAAGGACAAATGGCAAATGCATCAGTTATGCTACGCAAAGCAGAGTATGAATACCGAATACAGTGTATGAGTGCAGTGTATGAATGTTGTGAGCAGTGTATCAGTACAGAATGCAGTGTATGAGTACAGTGTATGAATGCCGTGAACAACGCTGTGAGCAGTATGTGGGTTACAGTGTATCAGTGCCGTGAGTGATGTGTATCAAGTGCCGTGTTGATAGTGTGATACATTAGATTATGTATGAAACAGATTATGCGGAGTTTGAGACTGCGGTTGAAAGAACTTACCGAGATGCCATAGATGGTCAACAGGTCGATGCTCCGCTGCAGTATCCCCATCACAGAGGCAGTCAATTCCAGAGACTGGCGAGTGTACTCCACGGAAGGTTGCAAAAGGGTTAAAAGCATCAGTATTCTGCGGAATATCAAGAGAAATGAAATAAAAGGGTTGTACAGAATGCAAAGTGTGGTAGTACATACCGGGGTCGAGCCATAGACTCCGACAAGCTCATGATCAGCTGGAGGAGGAGCGATGGGTATCTGGTAAGTCTCTACACCCTGTCCTCGGCATGTCATCATCGTAGGCAGCTCTAGCCATCCAGCTCCCTGCCCTCTCCGGGACCCACTCATGTCTCGGGCCGGAGGTGCCCTCGGTGCCCTCTAGCCATAGCTGAGCCTATCTTAGTTGCGTAACATGAACTAGGATCATGCATGATTTCTAACTAGTTCCTTATTTTGGCTCGGAGTACACTGTGAGTGTTTACGCTTTAGCATACTACATGTGTGTTATCGATTACCATGAAAGCATGCTTGCCATGAGGCTAATTGCTTATTTTCTATAACTGCCTGAGTGCCTGTGGGTAAAGGTTGGATTACTTGAATTGGAATAATTCATTGAAATCCTCGATTTAGCCTACTTGCGAGTAGCAAACTTCAAACCATTTCCAAACAAATGGATATGCAATGTTTTGTTCCAAATTAGGCGATCTAGTTTATACTTGTATGTTGTGCGCATCACATAGTAATTCTAGCTAATTAAAAGGAATAAAAACACATGTGTTTTCAAAACAAAATATCATATTTAGTACATGCCAATTTTTGATCGGGCGAGCGGGGGTGCTCATTACATGACCTTCCCCTCTCGTACCCAAGTTCCCGGGCCGAAGCAACTTTGGTGGTGACGGATACATGGCCTTAGGCATGAGTCAGGGTTTCCTAAATTCCCCTAAAATAAAATATTTAGGTGGCGACTCTGTATCTGGCAAAGCAGTCCATGTTTGGCACTTCTTTACAAAAATCAGTTTTCCAAAATGATATGCCAAATTTGGACTCTTCGGTGATTTATCAATCTCACATTGCACATTGTGAGATCAGATTAAGAACCGTGACATTTGAGTCCGAACTGTAGCACAGCATAAAGCCCTCGGGGCGCATCTACAACTGCCCGCCGGTGACCCCACCCCCTTTCAAACCCTACCACTCCTCCTTCAAGCACCACGTGTCCTCCATCCTCTCATCTGTCGGTTGTGGGTTCGGCACACAGTACACCTTTGAAGACGACCTCACCGAATCACCTGAATTCAAGTGGGACAAGACGCCGCGTCGCGAAATCTACAACTCCTCCATCTCCGACAATTTTGACAACAACCACTTCCTTCCTTTTCCGCCATCGCCACACACAGTGGCGAAGAAGAAACGACGGAGAAAAAAAAAGAAAGCGACCACACGTCACTACATCAACACTTCCTCGGCCGACAATGGGTTCTTTGGCGACGAGAGAGATGAGGAAGAAGAAGAAATCGGAATGCTAGTTTTGTTTTCACCAAATCACAAGAAGAGGATGAAGGAAGCGAAATGCAATGTTTCGAACGGAGGGAAGGTGTGGTTGCTAGAGATTGAGTTGCCGGTGACGTTGTCGGGGTTGAAGAAGCTGATACCGTCATTTGCGGCGGAGGGGAAAGTGAAGGAGAGCTTCGCAGTGGCGATGAAATCGAAGGACCCATATGAGGATTCCAAGAGATTGATGATGGAGATGATATTAGAGAAGTGACTGTTTGAGACGAGAGATTTAGAGCAGCTGTTGGAGTGTTTTTTATCACAAAACTTGCATCATCATCACAAAGTTATTGTTGAGGTTTTTACTGACATTTGGAAGACATTGTTTTATAGTACTAGTAGAATTTAGTTTCTTTCAATGTTCTTTGAAGTTCTTGATAATTGTTAAAATGAAAGATTAAAAAACAAATTTACTGGCTTTATGTTGTTAATTATTAGAATCTATGATTACTAATGTGTTAATGGTGATGAATGATCAAATTTAATGTAAATAATGTGAAAACAAAAAGAGAATTTTATTATTTATATCCTTAATAATAGTATAAAGTTTCAAACAATAGTTTGAATACAGATTTGTAGTTCATTAAGTGTGTAATTGCAACAAAATTTAACAGCCTTTGGCATGTCTATTTTTAGTCATAGTTAAATATAAGCAGTATGCACATAATTCTCAAAAGATGCTTACACTGAGCATAAATTGAAGTAAAGCATCGCATATAACAAGGTTAAGAAGATTAAATCAAAAGATTTTAGTTGAGAACAAAATAATCTCATACACAGAATAACAAAATATACAGTAATTTGTACTTCTAAGCGCATTATTGTTTTTTTATAACTGTATTTTATTTAAAGACGACACCAAGAGTGGCGTAACCTCAATATATAGGATGTATACAAAGAAAGCCTAAAAGCCATAACTAAAACAGAGCTCTCATATATGAAGCGCAGTATTATCACTGAAAACAAGATGCACCTAAAGCTATACATGCAGCTGCCAATCAATTGTTTGTATGAACCTGCAATAACACATCTCTAGATGGGTGAAAACAGAGGGTAACATAACTTACCTGTTCATTTACACTAATAAACTTCAAAGTCATCTCTTCAAATGATAATATGTAATAAATCTGCAAAATGCATTCACTTTAGTTAAAAAAACTAGTCATCCTCCATTACATGAACAATATTACTCACTCAGATATTTACTTCAAATATGTATGCTAGTGACTTTCCAATGTGTATTTAAGTTCAAAAAGAAACATGTGCAATAAGAAAATCCTTAAATATACAAGCATAATAAAACCAAAACAAAATGGTACTTCACCTTTGCATAGAAAGATGCTGCCCTGAGGAAATCCTTGGCAGAAAACACAGCTTCAGCCTGCATCATAAATAGCTCAGTGATGAACTAAAATACATTCAAGTTGCATACGATTGTATGTGGCCATAATCTAACCAACAAAGTCAGCCCAGACCTATGCTAGATATACTTGATCTCTCTAGAATGGATCCCGACAATTTGCCAAAGCTGCCGCATACTCCTTCAAGTCCAGGAACACCTTCCACATATTTCGGCCTTCATCATTTACAGACACCTACTTTACAATCTCAAATTCATTATATGGAAATTTATAGGCACAAGATACGACTGCTACTATTTAAACATCCTAGTCGTTGCATGTAGTATACAAAATTAGGCAAGAAGTTAAACATCCTACACTATGTAGGGGGCCATTTAGCTGTTTCGTTTTGTTTATCTACGTATATCACTTGTTGTAGGGTATGCCCTAAATGACCCTCTTGGATATGCCTTTTAAGATTTTTCTTACCTTGGACACTGACAGCACGTAGTGCACAGTTATATCACAAAACAATGAAACCATCATAGCATACAAACCTGAAAAATGGAGTTCTAGTCAAATGCATAGAACAATCCAGCAGAGGCATCACTGCATAATCCAATAATACCCCTTGACATTGATTCAGGTGTTTCATCAAACTGAAGTTCCTCTATGATATGTTCACTGATTCTATTTACAACCTAAAACACAACAAATATATCTATAATGTTAGTGAGTAGGGGAATTAATGAACAAATATTAAACTTAGTTCCCAACTTGTCCATCATCGTGGACAAAGAAAATGGAACTTTCTCTAGGATCCATCTGCTAAAACTTTATTACCAACAAATAATGAAGTTCACATTTACAAAATTGACAAGAAAATTCAAAATCATGTATGTGTAATTGTAAATATGTGTCTACGTGCATGCGCTGCACAGAAAGACGTACCTTAACCTTGTTTCCTAGGAGAAGCATAAAATGAAATTCAGACATTACCTTTCAAATTGGGTTTAATAGCTTCAGCAACATTAACTAATTTTGAATAATCCAAAAGACCCTTGTTCTCCACAAAATTTTCATTTCCTTCAGGTGAAATGCCCAAGAGGTTTCCCAAAAGATTTAATAAGAAAAATGCTTCATAAGAGAACTATACTATTACCACATAAAGAATCAATACACTACAAGACCGACGATGGACATAAAATGAACATTTTATCAAGAGAGAGCAAAAGAAGTAGAGCCTAGTAAACAATAAATTCCAGAATTTATGCCTATTGTTCTGTTCACAAAAGGAGGCAAAAGTGATGAGACTTGAGAGTCATCTCCTACCTATGCTGTGCTCCAAAATTTAGGCCACCGTGATAGATACCGGCTCTAGAAAGCCATGCAAAATATACAACTTTTCTTTGCTTGATAAAGAAATGCAGTTCACTGCAAGATAGGCAAAAATGGACTTCAATTTCAAAATACAAGAATATGATTATAAGAATAATATATCCATCCAATATGTGTAAAATCATAATTAATTTGATTACACAAAAGAGAATAAACCCATGCAACCTGTCTTCTTACCAGTCAAATACCATACATGACACTGTAGACGGCCTGAGAACTCCGCTCTCCGCGCGTGAGGGCGCGAATCGCTTTGTTCTTAGCTACTACAGTTCGAACTCGTGTCACGGTTCTGAATCTAATCTCGTAAAGTGTAATGCAAGACTGATAAATTAGCAAAGAGTCCAAATCCGGCAAATCGTTTTGGAAAACTGATTTTTAATAAAGAAGTGTCAAGCATGGACTGCTTTGCCAGATACAGAGTCGCCACCTAAATATTTTGTTTTGGGAAATTTAGGAAACCCTGACTTGTGCCTAAGGCCACGTGTCCATCATCACCAAAGTTACTTCGGCTCAGGAACTTGGGTACGAGAGGGGAAGGTCATGTAATGAGCACCCCCGTACGAGAGGGGAAGGTCATGTAATGAACACCCCCGCTCGCCCGATCAAAGATCGGCCTTTACTGACATGATATGTTGTTTTTGAAAACATATGTGCTCTTACTCCGGTTATTAATCTAACTTACTACATGATGTGCACAACATACAAGTATAGACTAAATCGCCTAAGTTGGAACAAAACATCTCATGTTTGTTTATTTGAAAATGGTTTGAAGGTGCTACTCGCAAGTAGGCTAAGACGTGGATTTGCCACCCTCGAGTGGGCTTTAGAAAACATGATTTTTCCATCTCAAGTGGGCTTAAAACTCGTATTTCGATGAATTGTTCCAATTCAAACAATCCAACCTTCACCCACAGGCATTCAGGCAGTTAATCACTTAAGCAGTTAACCTCATGGCAAGCATGCTATCATGACAACACTCACACTCATGCAAGGATGCTAAAGCGTAAAAGCTTACCTAGTACTCCGAGCCAAAACAAAAGGTATGTTAGAAATCAATGCATGACCCTAGCTATGTCAAGAATGCCTAATGCAACACATGCAAGATGCAACTAAGATAGGCTCGGCTATTCTAAGATGTCATGTGAATGCAACTAGATAACATGTATTCAAATCGGTATTGAAATACAATGCATTTTGTATAATGCGCCGAGCCCGGTGCATGCAAGACAGATGAATAGATGCACGCATGCAAGCATAAGGATGCTAATTGAAACATGCCCTAAAACTAACCACTGAAAGCAGGTAAGTAAATGGGAGAAAGAAATGGGGGTTGAAAGATATGCATCGCACACACGCACGCTTATTACAAAATTCGCCCTCTCGACGGAGGGTTTGAATAAAAGCTAAGCTATTCTAAGCCAGGCTACTTAACTAATCTAATAATCTAATTAGACTAATTATTACACAATACAAATTGAATTTGAATCAACTAGCTAATCTAAGCTAATTAAGTACAAACTGATTTAATTAATTAAACACGTAATTAATTAATTACAACATAACTAAGCTAATGAACTAGTTTAGCTAAGCAATTTAAACAGATGGCCTCAAGAAGTAAGAAGGATATGCATGCTCGGTCGGCTTCACTCGGAAGTCTACTACCGTGCCTCATGATGCCTCTGTTTGCACACTTCTGGACTTCTGAAAATTGTGCCAACTTCCAAGTTACTTCTGATTCACCTTAGGAATATGCTGAGGGGTGGTCGTCCAAGAGGGATGGCCATCAGCCAGAGTTTATGGCCATCAACCAATTTTGATAGTCGATCGGCAGTCTTGGTGGCCGGTCGGCAGCTCTGATGGCCGATCGGCCATTGCTTCCTGCAATTTCTTCTTTTGCTGCAACAGAGCACAAACAGAGGCATGGCAGTGTATTTGCAAGAGAATGTGTGTGCAACCACACTCCTTATCATGTCTTAAGCTCAAAAGGGTGTAGTGCTTGGCTCTCAAGCCATCAATCACGCATCTTAATGCATGATGGCCAAAGAGTCAAGCTTGCACAAGTCAATGAATGCACAAATAGACTCGATGAGCCTCCACCCTATAATGCATGATCACGGGTGTCGGCGACTAAGAAACAAGGCACGTTTCATCACTTTGAGTATGAGACGTTTCTCATTTCTCATGTTTGGATTAACGTCCGATCCAAACACATGCAATGCAACACAAACATGTTATCTTGGCATGTTTTACTTCAATTCAATTTGTTTACTCATTTTAGATTACCAATTAATCCTTTAACCGGTTAAGTCCAAAAGTGAGAAATCCTCTAAATGGAAAGACAGGCTAAGCCACAAGCATCTTGAGCATGAAAAAAGCATCATGCTGTTGGTTAGTAGAAACCCTCAAGAGAAGGCTAAAACCATTAGGTATGAACGCCTCGATCTCATGCTCAAACCAACAAAGGGCTTAAAACCTA